ATTATGCAATCTGCTTGTATCCAGAGATGTTGCATTATGCAATCTGATTGGATACCCACCTCACTGGATACATGTATTCTATGCAATACACATAGGAAGCCGGATATGTAAAGGGGTTCCCCGCTCTTTCAACAATAACATTGATTAAATAGTATTCCAAATCAAAAACCTTCTTTTTTTCTTTTTATACATAGTTGATAAATATTTGTTATGTCATTACACTTTATCATCATGGAACCACCATCTCGTCTCCTTGGGAGATCTGCCATTCCTGCAGTTCTTCACGTAACGATCATTATCTGCTGGGCGTTGCTGCACAATGATAAATTGCACGAATGATGGTCATGAGTTCATTCTACCCAATAATCATCAAAACCTTGAATTCAACATATTGAAACAAACCTTCACAGTGGAACTCGATAACATGGAGAGAATGCTGATACAGATGGAACTAGCAGTCATGGCTGGTGACCATGAATCATATAGAATATCTGCAAATGAAAACAAAAACCATTAACCGGCAAATCCAGCGAAGCTGCTCACCCTAACTCGCAGTCGAGCATAATAACCACCAAGTACCGGAAAATTCAGTATTACATTGCAGAAGCATGTAAAAGACAACAATAAATTAGAAACAAGAAGTTGTCATTGCTTGCGAAGACAAGGAACTCTGTTCACCTTAGCCTCACATTCCAAAGGGAACCAAGGATTGCAAAAAGTACAAGATAATCCCCTTTTTTCTTATCTCATCTCTTCGAGCAACAAAACAAAGAAAGGTTCTTGTGCCTGAAAGACCAAACTTTACACCTAGAGGGAACAATAGTAGCCTGAACTGTAAAAGCTCATAACAGCAATAACAAGGTTAGATGCAAACATGAGCGATGCAGTGACTCGCAGCGCCTCAGAGGATTCTATCCAATAACCACAGCCTCACAACTTTAACTGTGAGTAATCATGCCTTTGGACTCACTACTGTTGCCTCATAAAGTAACCAAAAAAGGAGCAGGTACTTAAAATTGAGTTCCACTATAAATTATAATCTATTCGTCGAAATTTCTGAAGAATTCCTGGTTCTTAGTTCTTAAATTCACAGTATGGTATGGTTATAACTTATAATACTTGCTGTGATTCAATAATAAAAGCTATATGCCTTCTAGCTCACTACTAGACATGACTTCTAGTTCATTTTTTTTGTCAAGTTTCAGACCAGGCCCATTCCGAATTTGACAATCTCCAACCCAAGATGAATGCCCCAATATCTGGTGTATTCACTACAGTAGGCACCAGATGATTGGGCGTGTGAGCCAACAGAACAATATTACCAGGCTTCTCAAATTTTAATCCAGATATATTCTTTCAGGTAATGGCTGACCTTCATTGGCTTGTCTTCTC